AATGCATCTTGAACCATGTATCAGGAAGAAACTTGTGGCTCATATCTGTGCACCCTTTCCATGCCACCCACAAAGGCAAGCAGAGGGCATTGGATTCCCAGGAACTGGAGTTATAGAGAGTTGAGAGTCACTATGTGGGTGTGGGAAACTGAACCCAGGTCCCCTGCAAGAGCAACCGGTATTCATAACCACTGAGCCATCTCACCAGCTCTGATGAGTTTTTTAAAAAGCTATGATATTCATCAAATGGAATAATTTTTAGACATTGAAGGTACAATTGAAGGTAAAATGTTAAGGTCTGGAGGTGAAGTGCAATGGGCTCTCCTAACATGTAGAAGGCCCAGGGTTCCCTCTCCAGAGCTGAGTATGTTAATTAATTAGAAATAAACTTTCATTTTAAAATTAAATATTGAGGACATTAAAGCACTGACAAAATAATATCAAAGAAAACACAGCATTTTAGATGCTTATTTCAATTTTAGTTATGACATGTAAGCATAGAAATAAATTAAAGTGGCATACTAAGAAAACAAGTTGTTATCTTTTAAGCATTTAAGTTGTTTTTAAAATTTCTTAAAAATGACCAGATATCTGTTTATATATAGAAACATATATACATATAAAAAATATGTATTTATTAAGAATGTTTGCCTTATACAGTGTTGTGAAATAGTGGCCCATGGTTTACTACCATTGCTCACACTATAATCCCAGCACCAGGAAGGTAGAGGCAGAAGGATCACAAGTTTGAGGCCATCATCAGCTTCATAATGAGTTGGAGGCCACCCTGGGATACTTGAGACTCTGTCTCAAAAAGTAAAATTTAAAAAGAGTCTCCTTCTAAAGCTGGGTAACAGTTAAATTGTTAAGTTGAAAATGACCACAGTTATTCAATCCGGTGGCTTCCAAACTTAAGTAAATGTGGAGCTAGCATGGGGGTAAAATTTAATGTGACTGGAGCACTTCCCAGAGTTCTAATCTAGTTGGTCTTGATGTCCAAGAACTGGACTTCCTGACAAATTCCTAGTAGATGTTGATGCTATAGGTTCAGGAACCAATGTTTGAGAACCACAGATGTAGTTAAACCCGCCACTCATCAGTCAGCCTCACTCTTGCATAGCCTGGCTGTCCCTTTGACATTTGAAGCCTGTCTTAGTTTGTTTTTCTGTTGCTATGAAATGATTTAACAAAATCAACTTACGGGATTTTAATAAAATCAGCTTCTGGTTCACAGTTCAAGGGTACAGTCAAGGCAACAGGACTATGAAACACCTTGTCACATGGCATCCACAGTGAGGGAAAAGAGAGATGAATGAACTCTCCTGTCCACTGTCTTTCTCCACTGACACAGTCCAGGATCACAGCTAGGCTGTGGTGCCATGATATGCAGGTCTTACCTCCATAGTTAGCATAGTCAGGGTACAATGAATTCTGCCAAGCTGATCACTCACTTACTGTCACAAACGCGTCTTGTGCTAGGAAATGTTTCTGAAAAAGGATTCCAAGATCTTGGAGAACCAAGAAATAGCTAAGATTGTTTGTTTGTTTGTTGGGACAGGGTTTCTCTGTCCTAGTAATCTCTCTGTAGACCAGGCTGGCCTTGAACTCACAGAGATCTGCCTGCCTCTGCCTTCCTCTGAAATTAAAGGTGTGTGCCACCACCCCTGGCAGAAATATCTAAGATTTAAAAGATGATACTGTATCTTTTATTAGAAGGCCCCCACCCTCTTCCATGATGACTTTAAGAAAGAAAATTCCCTTGATTTCTCAAATGTCTCAAAGATCATTTCAGACCTTTTGGGTCTATGCCCTTCTGCAGTCCAGTGACCAGGTCAAGCCTGGGCACCTCCCATGTGATTTAGGAAAACTTTGCAGTCATAGCTTGGGTGGTGTTTACCAGTTCTGAGCCATTTGCTGTCAGATGGCAACATCCAGGAGCCCTCACTTTATTGCTTCCCTTAAGTCATAAAATGCATTGGTTTCCGAAACTGGTACTGCAAAGGCAATATCTAACCAGAGTGAAGCCATTTTACTCCATTTAAAGGAGAAATCATCCAGGCAGTGATGGTGCATGCCTTTGATCCCAGCACTTAGGAGGCAGAGGCAAGCAGATCTCTGTGAGTTCGAGGCCAGCCTGGCCTACAGAGTGAGTTCCAGGATAGCCAGGACCTCACAGAGAAACCATGTCTCAAAACAACAACACATACACACAGACACACACACATATACACACACACTCAGAAAGAAAGAAAGGAAAAGAAAAGAAAATGGGAAAAAGGAGAAAGGAGAAGCCACAAGCTATGGTAGTCTCATGAATTTTGAACTATGACACAGAAGTACTGGATCAGTTCTCTCTGTAACTAAGCAGAACATTAACAATGGAGCCTCTCTCTCCTCTCTCTCTCTCTTCCTCTCCTTCCCTCCCTCCTCCATCCCCCTCTCTCTTCCTCTCTTATATTCCAGCTCAGTTAGCAAGCAAGTTTAAGCTCCAACTAAGAAACAGAATGCTCTTCCAGTCAGGGTTGACAGTGGGCTTACCTACATCAAACTGCCTCCTCACTGGACACTAGACTACTTTACCCACATGTCCTTCTAACTTGGGGATAAAGGACTGATATCTTTTTGACTTAAAGTGGGGAATATGATTTCATGCATCCCTCAGTTTTCTGCAACAATCAAATCCTCAACCATGACCAAGTTATCATGTTAAGGAGACATTCCAAACACCCTCCCTACTGGCACATTTATTAAAATTGCAGAGAAGCCTGGATGTGACAAAGCCTACTTAGAATCCCAGCTCTCAGGATAGAGATGAAGGAGGGTCACCATGAATTTGAGGCCAACCTGGGCTACATAAGAGATTCTAGGCCAGCCAGGTTATACGATGAGCCCATCTTAAAAATAAATAAATAAATAAAGTTGCAAAACAGAGTTGAGTTTCACTTCTTCTGTTAGCTTTGGAGGTGCTAGTAGGCAAGTCTTAGTTCAGTTAGAGGCAGAGAAAGAAACAAGTGCCTTCTCTGGTAATACAGCCAGCTGTGTGCAGCTGCCACCTGCTTCCCCAAACATAGCCACCTTGAATGCTAGAAAAACGCTCTTTTCTCTGGCCTGGTTCCTCTTCCCCAGCACATTCTCCCAACAAGCATCCAGTTAGTTCAGGGATATCAAAGTGAGGAGGCAGCCATCTTCCTCAAATGAGCATCTGAGCTCAATAGTGCGAGAATGCTTATCCCAGAGCCTGTGTCACAAATCTCCACTAGCTGAGCATGCTAGCAGGCAGGCCATGGAGAGGTGCTGCTAGAGTCCCCTTCTATGCCTCGCCTCCATTCAGGCAATATGACGCACAGTATGAAATGGCGTTGGGTGGATTCCTGATCCTCACCATCTCGAGCAGGACAGTCATTTCAGTTCTATCCCCAGGATGCTGATTGTCCACTGTCTTTTGTGTCCATCCTCTTCTTTCCTGTTCTTGGAGCCTTCTAAATGTGAGCCTTATAGTAGAGTCTTCATAGCCAGATATTTCCACCCTAACTCACTCTGATGACAGCTGTTGAGTAAGTGCCCAGTCCTTTCGTTCATCTTACTTTTCAGCCATGTTTTGTACTTTCTGATTACCTCACAGTAACCCAAGCTTGATATTCCCTTCTGAAGTACTGTGTCAACCAACTTCCCAGTCCCTCACATCCCTCATCCTTTGCCCTCAGCTTAGCCAGTTCATACATGGTTTCTCTACCCCATGTCTTCTCTTTTTCCTTTTCCTCACCTTCAAATTGTAAGGGGCCTCTCTGTTCTCATCGAACCTTTCTTGTTTCTCAATTTCTTTTTTAAACCCCTCGGCTAATCCTACATTAACTTAAAATTGATGACAGGTTGCTCTTCAATAATTCTATTCCCCCCCCCCTATGGTCACACTGTCATTCTCAGTAGTGTGGAAAAAACCCAGCAAGATTAGGTTCATAGAGTTATAGCTTCCAGGTTCTGTTTCCCTTGGCATCTGTTCTCTTTCTCTCCAATATAACACCTAGTTGTTCTCTTCCGTTTTACAGTTTACAATGGGCTTTCATTGACAGTTTGTCATATGATCTTTGTGTAAAGAAATAGTATCAATGTTATCCTCACTTTGAAGTTTGGCAAGCACTGTTCTCTGAATGATAAATTATTTGTCCAAAGTTCTGCACCAAGGAAATAGACGTACACGGTCCCACACCCTAGTCTTTGAATCCTCAGTACCTCCTGTTCCCGTATCAACCACCCACTCTGAACATCTATCATACTTGATAAGTGTCGATGACATGATAATGCAGATTATTAGTGTGGGAGTGTCACCAGGCCACATCCAAATAGGAATTAAACATTGTGAAGCCATGCCTATAATTAATGGAATGTTTAATAGAATAAAACCATAACCCTTAAAGTTAAAAAAATAATAAAAAGCTTATGCAAGAAAATAAGGTTGTCTTGGAGCCTAAGAAAAGGGTCTGTCTGTACCTAAGGGACCCATTTGGGAACTATCCATATGAGGTTTCTTGGCCAGAGGCTAATTAAAGCCTTCAGGTTAGCTGGTTGACATATGTCTACTGCCTGGGTTCAGGGAGAACTGCACTGTAGCTTTCCTGTCCCCTACCATGTGACCTTAGGCTAAGCTAAGTCTCCCACAGAGCCCTGGGTGCCTCTTCCTTATCCATCCTACAGAGGGGTGAATGGGAAGGTTCCTGAGGTCTTCTCTGCTGTGACATTCTGACAGTCTATGAATAGCAAGGGCACAAGACAGGTGCGAGCTGATGGCCACGTGGGAAGCTCACACCTGTCTCTCCCCGGTGTTTCCGCCCCTCTCTCCCAGCAGTGCCAAACACCAGGCCCAGTCAGGGTCAAGTTGCCAATTTTGAAACTGTTCAAGGACAGTTGTCCTTCTGCGTGGGGCTCCTTTGAGCCCAAAGCTGGCTTTCTTCCTTCTCTACAACTCACTCTCCCACTAATTTATCTCTGTTTCTTTATTTCAGATTAAAATCACTCACAAAAACCAGGCACCTATGATGATGGGGCCTCCCCAGAAGAGCAGTTTCTTCTCACTGAGGAGGAAAAGCCGTTCAAAAGACTAAACAGTATGCCAAACAAACACCAGCTCCACCAAGAACACACACACACACACAGGCACACACACACACACACACACCAGAGGGAGCAAAGCCACACTTCCAGATGAAAGTGTCACCCTGCCATAGAGTCTACCAATTTTGAAATGGATCCTCTCTTAACAGAGCCAATACCCATGAAATATTTTGAATGGACTCAGGGCCCACCAGGATGGGTTGGCTCATACAGCAACTTCCACATTCCCACAGGCCTTGGGTAGACTTTGAGGCCGAAGGAGAAATCCCCTTTCTTCTTCACCACTCCTATAAGGTTCCAGGCTGCAGGTTTCCTGCCTACAGTGAGATCGGATGTGGTCAAAGGAAAGAGCTCCAACCCAGAAATTTTGCACAAAAGTCCTTCTGTATGGAAACAAAACAGCCTCTAGCTCTCCAAGCAAAACCCTTGGCAGAGCTCAGCAAGCACACGATGGTTTCTTCCTTGTCCTTCAAGCAACAGCTCCTCCCCTAGCTTGCTGAGGAAAGCCAAGAAGCCAAGGAAAGCTGTTTCCGTTTTTGATTCCCTCTGCTGTCCATGGGCACTTGTTCACTTCCTGAAGCATCTCTTGGTAGCTGTTTGCTCAGAAAACAAACAAGGCTGCCTGGGCAGTATACTTTAGATGTGGTATTTATTTTCATAAGTCCTATGAACACCTGGGAGGGAAAGCTGAGAAAGTAGACTTTATTTTTCAAATTGATGTCATAATATTGTATAAAAAGGAAAGAGGGGGGACACTCCCAACACTCCCCACCCCTCACTACCACACAAGCCAAAGTGTGTCTCTCCTTTGAATCCTAAGCCCTGGTGGCAGAGATGATGAGAGGGAGGGGCTTTGCTGGGAAAACGTGTAGCTAGCCTGTCAGGAGATGCCCTGTTTCTGTGCACTTGCCACTCTCATGGTGTAACAGAAGGACCTTCTGGAGGTCTTATATATGTACATATGTAGCATATGTTTATATATAATATATAAATATTTATTTACTGCTGGACTTTTCCTCACTAGAAATAAACATAGATATTGTGGGAACAGAAAATGGGAAAGACAACAGAAGGGTCCCTACTCCCCCACCATCTTTTGATTGTAGAGACATTTCCCTGGCTGCTTACAAGGTTGACAGGAATGATCTAGATCCTGGGAATAACCATGAAACACATGCTGTTCAAGGCTCATTCCCCTATTGATTGTTAAGAACGCTGAATTGTGGAAAAGTTAAAAAGGCTTCTCCATGGTATCCTGGCTAATGAGGTTTGACTGTGAATGTTACTAAGAAGATCATTAATACACAAAAGAAACCTCATCTGGGAATAGGGTCATTTCTGGTCACCAAGGCATGGTTGCACTTAGATCCAGGTTGTCAGGGAAGAACCATCATATAGCCTGTGCATGACTGGAACAAGCCCACACAAGAAAATGGGACATGTGAGTTTAGGCTACTTCCCAAGTTCTCTATGGCTTGTCCTACATGGGGAGAAATTGGCCTGAAGTTGAAGGCCCCAGACAGATCATCTGATGGCATTCTCATGTCACCTCATCATGGTCACCAGACCTTCTTGCTTGGAAATATTCCTGGCTACAGATATGACTTCAATAATGAGTTACCTGCTGTAGGATGTTGACAACCAGGACAGAATAGTCTTAGTCATGCTCAGTGGGCTTCATTCAGCTGGTGCCAGCATCCCACTCCTCTATGGAGGGTACCACTACACAGAGCATCATTGGTAGAAGGCAACCTTTGCCTCAGCCCCTGGCTCCCCTGGGCCTTCATCTCTGTCTCAGATTTCTCAAGAGAAAACCTGGGCCCAATCAACATCACTCCACTGAGCTGCCTCTAATCTTGCAATGGACAAGGAAGGGAACATGAAGAATGTACAAATCGAGCCCACCTCTGAAGGAAGCCATCATCTAGAATGGAGGGCTGAGACTTGGGACCACCCTGCTCAACCTAACATGCTTCTGCTGAGCAAGCAGAAACACAGGCCACCTAAAGAACATATTGATGGGAAGATTGGTGATGCAACCAACAAGCTCCCAAAGGACAGCATCTACTATTTTGGAAGGTGCTTGATTCTGAAGCTGATGCAGGTTTGGCTTCAGGACCATTGATTTGAAGACATTTACATAAGTGTTTGTATGTGTTTCAGCTCTGATCCCCAAGATTGCAGGTTAAAACAGCATCATCAATAGATGAAAAGGATTCCCAGATACTCCCAAGTCTTGTAAAGGGGCCCTGCAAAGGTTGAATGTTACCTGAGAGACACAGCCCAATCCTTTAAGAGGCACAATGCCATGGCATTGCACTTCTGATTTGCCAATCTTAGTAAGTCTTGCGTTGCTGTTTAATCTTACCTTACAAGTCATCTTTTAAACACCCTGACTGGGGTTTCTTATTGTGTAGTGCATCATCCTAGTGACCCCCCCCCACTCCAAGCTCTTAGCCAACAAATATTATCATCTCCACCCTACTGAGAATGGGGCTTTCTGGTGTTTGGTGGCTCCTTAAAGCTACACAGTCAGGGGAGAGCCTGGTCTCTTCTGTGTTATCCTGCTCCGATTCTTTCCATGCTGCAGACATGTTCTCACCTGCCTCCATGCTTCCACCCCACTAGCAATAAAAAACAATGAAACCAGAAACCTTCAGTGCACCTTGTTGTCGCTGGGCTGATGGGCTAAGAATCATGGCGCAGTGTGGTGCAGTTTTCATGGGGTTTCCCGGGTGAGTTGGGAGTGGAGACAGACTTCGTAGGATGATTATATTCAGGTCACAGACCAACCCCTCTCAGGAGAGTTCATTCTACAGATGGAAAAAATACATTAAAATTGCCAAATAAATTAGGAAATACTTGGCAGAACCTGTAAGAGCCTCCAGACTGGCATTATATAATATATATATATATTATACATGTGCACATTATATAAGGTGACATAGTACTTAATGTGCTGTATATATTATGTAAATTACATATTTGTGAGTAATCATGATAAATATAGAGACCTACTGATCACTTTTTTACACATACTCAGTGGCAGATTAGGAAGTTTCTTTGCCAGGGAGTCTTAAAACTTACTCTCTCCTGCTGCTTTGTTCCAATTCCTGCCAAAAATAATTGCATCAACTTTTCCCATCTTTATCCCCCTCTTCTCTTAGCCAAAACTCTCAGTTACCTTCTGTCCAAGCTAGGCTGTACCTTCCATGCAATACTACCACAATCAGGATCTACAAAAAATATAGTCATGGGAATAAGTAGGGTCTAGGCTTCCCAATTCCCTGTGTCAGAGGCCTACACCTCGATTTTCTCAAGCAGGTGCAGGTGGGGAGTGTCAACATTAAAGGAAGGGAGGGGATTGGGAGGGAAGAAGAAGAGATCCTACCATCTTTCTGGGGAAGAAACCACATAGTCATGCTCAGTTATCAGCCTAGGGTCCAATAGGAATCAGTGAGAACATAACTTCAAATGTTTAGTTAAAATTGAAATTATCTCATGTATCTAGTCTAAGACTTTACACACTATCTAAAACCATAACTTTCTAGAATATGACTCACAAAACACTAGTATTCCTAAAATGTTTCATGAAAGGGCTAAGGAGATTGCTCAAAGGAAACATTTGCTATGCAAGCCTGCTGCCTGAGTTCGATCCCTGGAAACCACATAAAGGTAAAGGAAGAAAACTGACTCCAGAACGTTGTTCTCTGATCCCCGACATGAACACACACACACACACACACACACACACACACACACACACTATGTCACATGAAAATATGCAATAGTAATAACATTTTTGTTTGTTTGTTTGTTTGTTTTTTTGAGACAAGGTTTCTTTGTGGCTTTGGAGGCTGTCCTGGAACTAGCTCTTGTAGACCAGGTTGATCTCAAACTCACAGAGATCCGCCTGCCTCTGCCTCCCGAGTGCTGGGATTAAAGGCATGCGCCACCAACGCCTGGCTAGTAATAATTATTTTAATGTCCCATAGGGGACATGCTTTCTAAGAAATACAAAGAGAGGCTTGGAGGAAAACACGGGGGGGGGGGGAGAAGGGGGTCATGGATAACTAGAGAGATGCTCAGCATTAAAAATACTTTGCTACTCTTGCAGAGGAGTCAGGTTCAGTTCCCAGCGGCTCACAACAAGCTATAACTCCAGTGCCAGAGGTTCCATCTCCCTCCGCTGACCCTAAGGGCACAAAGCATGAAGGTAGTACACACATAAGCAGCAGAGTTGGCTTACTTCTCTGGTCCTGTGAAGAACACCATGACAAAAGCAGCTTACAGAAGAGTGCATTTCATTGAGATTTTGCCTATAGCTTCTTCGGATGAGTCCATGCCCAATGGCAGAACATGGCAGGAGGCAGAAATGGTGCTGGAGCTGAGAGCTTACATCTATCTGATCTGCAAGTTGGAGGCAGAAAGTCAGACAGACAGACTGACTGACTAGGCTTGGTGTGGACTTTTGCAACCTCAAAGCCCAAGCCTAGAGACAGACTTGCTCCAACAAGGCAACACCTCCAATAAAGCCACACCTCCTTCAACAAGGTTACATGTCCTAATCCTTTTCAAATAGTTCTACCAACTGGGGACTGAGCATTCAAACTTAGGAGCCTATGGGGGCCGTACTCATTCAAACCACCACAACACTCATATATTAAACAGATAATAAATAAATAAAGTGGAGTTTTCTGTCCCCTAAAAAAACCAGTTTGTATTGTTCTCAGATGAACATGGAAATAACCATTCTCTGACATAATTGCCCCAAAATTACTTCCTAAGAAAGATGCCTCAATCTTTAAAGTGGTTTTTGTTTTTGGTTTGTTTATAAACAGTTTTTGCTTTTTTTGACATGGGGGCATAGGGTGATTATTACCCTGTTGCCAAGACTTGCCTTAAACCCAGTTCAAATCACCTTCCTGACTCAGTTTCCTGAGTCACTGGGAGGGCAGAGTACCAAGTGAGAAGCTCCTGTTTCTTATACAAGAGTATCTATTTTCACTGCAGTCTGAAACATGCCTTTAAGCAAGAGTCAAGGGTCTGGACTCTGCCTCTCAAGCGTGGAAGGAACTAGAACAGAATTTTAAAGAGGGGAAGGAGTGAAAAGGAAACACGGCAGCTGCCATCACCTGTGCAATATATATACACACACACACACACACACACATACACACACATATATATACACACACATATATATATACACACACATATACACACACACATATATATACACACACACATATATATACACACACATATATACACACACATATATATATATACATATACATATATTCCTATCTATAACCTCATTGGCTGCCTGTTACTATCATTGTTATCCCTTCTAATCCTCAAAGTCATTTATAATGTGGGCATCAGACTGAATTCAAAGAAAAGAGAATTATGCATAGGAAGGAAAAAGTCTTTTCCCACAGATAGCAGCAGAGCAAGGACTCGTATATCCTCATCAAAATATATGCTTTCCCACTGGTTTTCATGGCCCTATCATTCTTACCGAGGTGTCTTCAACTCAAGTAGTACCCTGCATGAAGTGACTCAGCATTGAAACACTGATATCCTATTTATTCAGCCTTTGTATAGCCATCTAATCATAGTCTACTGAATAATCTTTTACCTATCCACCCTCATGGACAGCTAGCTCCCCAAACTCTTGGTATCCAACTAGCATCCATCCCTTAATCCTCAATATCTTCAGGTTCTACCAGGGTGGGACCCA